AGTTAGAGACGACCACAAATCGTCCCGAAGTCACGTAATTTCGGATACCCGAATTTGACCTTGCTATCCCCAACCGAAAATTATATGTATCATATATGTTTCTAATTTTTATTAAAACCTTTATAAGTTCCTGTTGTTTCAGTGTCGATTAATTTATTAGACTAACAGTGTGCGGGTAACACTAAAGTTTAATTGGTGGCTGGAGTGGGATAGTTTTGTGAAGAATTCGGAAGAAGTTGATGTTTGTGGAGTTATGTTTTATCGCTGTGGATGTCATCAATTGTCAACATGAATAGACTTGATAACTTGAGTCTTGGAGAGTTGGAGGCTGCTATTGCAGAACTTACGGATTCGTATAACAGCGACATTGCAACGCTTGGGAGGATGTTATCCCAAACAAGGGTTGATGCTGTTCCTCCATCATTCATGAGTCAGAGATCGACAGTTCCTGTTAATTCACCATCTTTATTTTCTGACATGAGCAGATCTCCTGTTCGATGTCAGAATCAAAGGCAATCCAGTGTTCGTTTCAGTTCATCTACGTCAGGTTTGGAGAGAACTGCAGATTATTACAGAGATTCGAATCCTGTTAGAACAAGGACGTCTACGCCAGTAGATACTCAACGACAGAGAGATAATATGTATGGACCTGTGTCTAATATCTCAACCTTAGCCAGTGGTTCCAGTCGCTGTTCTCCAGAATCTAGCAGAAGGGCCAGAAAAGCAGACAGTCAAATGTTTGGATTTGACAGAGCTCAGACAGCCGATGCTAGACCATTACAAAGGTTGGCTAAGCCTATCGCGATGCCTCCTAAGTATAATGGTGAAACACGATTGAATGATTATTTGGTTCAATTTGAAGTCACTGCAGAGATCAACTCATGGAGTGAAGGTGATAAAGCGAGATTTTTGGCGATTAGTCTTACAGGTAAGGCAAGTGATATATTTGGTACGTTGAAACCAACTGATGTTCTTAACTACCATTGTTTGGTAGAAGCTTTAAAGCAGAAATTTGATCCTCCGGAGTTAGCAGAGATGCACAAGGTACAGTTACGAGAACGACGAAGAAGGAACAATGAAAGTTTGTCGGAGTTTGCTCAAGCTGTCCACCGCCTGGTGTATTCTGCTTATCCCAGAAGTAGTGAAATAACAAAAGAAGAGATGGCTAAAGACCATTTTATCCAGTATTTTGGAGATAGCCAGATGAGAATGCTTGTAAGCCAAGCACGTCCCCGAGATTTGAATGCCGCACTACACCATGCTATGGAGTTAGAGGCCATCAAACATTCAGATCCCGATGTACGCTACACTCATGTAGCTAATGCAAAACCCAAGTCTGGAAAGAAGGCAGAATCTGAGAGTTCTGAACTGCTTAAAATGATAGCAAGTTTGATAGAAGAATTAAAAGAAGTGAAAGAGAAGTTACGAGCGTCAGAAAATAAGATTTCAGATAGGAAAAGAAGAGACCTGTCTGAAGTAACATGCTTTAATTGTCTAGAGTTAGGGCATTATTCTACGACATGTCCCTCACCTCGCAAGAGTCCCCCTGTTGGCTCTTGGCGAGATGGGAGGGTACCATTTCAGCAGACTAATCAGAGAGATACACCTGCTGTACCAGTTCCCATGCCAGCACCTTCAAGGTCACATCATTCTAGCTTAGACAGAACTGTTGGTGTTGTGAACCCTTCCAGTTCCGGTATTTTTGTTGAAGGCAAAGTAGAGGGGCTGGACACAGAATTCTTAGTTGATACAGGTGCTAGCCTGTCGATGATTTCAGAAGATTTTTATGATTCGTTTGAAGAGAAACCTGAGTTGCGTCCGGTTAATTGTAAGCTGTTACAGGCTGATGGCTCGCCTTTAAACGTTAAGGGTCGGGCATATCTTAAGATTGAAGTTACCGATAAGAGTTTTGTTTTTCCCTTTGCAATTGTGACCATGCCAACAAGGGCTATTCTTGGTCTAGATTTTGCAAAAGAGGAAAATGTTATAATTAATGTTCCTTTGTCAGAGATTTATGTTGGTGGTCAGGTGATCCCATGTCAGACTAAGGGTGGAATTGGTGTATGTCGTGTTATCCCCGAATCGGGTACCGAAAAGGATGATTTGGTTCGTGGTTCTTTGATTGATACTTTGCTTAAATCTTGTAAGGAAAGCCTAACAAGTCAGCAGTATAATATTACAGCGACTACTTTGTCCAGGCATATAAAGGCTTTTGCGGTTGATAGTGATGACGTTGGTAGAACGGAACTTATGTCTCCTTGTATAGAAACTGGGAGTCATCCACCGATTTGCCAATCATCTAAATTACCTCCAGGTGTTTTGTCTTACAATTATCATTGTCATTTTGTTGATTGTAAAGGGAGGTTTCGCTCAAAATATTTCTGGAGAAGACATCTAGCTACACATTTGCCGAAGAACGACAATACAGATGATATATATGCTAAGCTTGTCATGGATGAAGTTGCAAAGGCTAAAGGTAATACTTCAAAATCTACACTGAAGACTGTTCCGGTAGCAACAGTAACAAGTAATTCTGTTGGTTCTAGTCCAGCTAGTGTTGTGGATTGGGAGGCTACCAAACGTTTTGTTTGTCAAATTTCTCAGCAGCCCGAATCGACTTTGTCGAACGAAGAGAAGACTGTTGATCTTGAAGTACCTGTTGATATGTCTTTTAGCCCTAAAGAATCTGTTGCAGTTTCGTTAAGTCCAAAGAAACTGCCTACAATATCTTTGAGTCCCAGGAAGGATAATTCACCTATGAAATCTGATGCAAGGCCTAAAACTTCCGATGTACCAACATCCCCCCACCCTTATGGCCCATTGCTATGTCTAACTCAGATGAGCCATTGGGATTTACAATTAAAGAATCCATACACAAAACAACAGAGGCTGGTGGAAAAGAACGCCTTTACCGACTTATACCTAGATGTGGACAGGAAGTTGCAGACTTTGATGGTAACGGGAAACTGAAGGGTTTCAGGACAACGCTACAATGTTTGTATTGGCCCGTCGATGAAGCTCCCCCACCGCCCTTGGAAAAATTAGAAGAAAAGAGATAACGAAAAGTGAACTTTAAGTAATGTTTGCGAGTTTAATCGACAATTATCGTGTTGAACTGATCGTGGTTCATAGTGATATAAAAGTGTGTTGACGGTATACGTTATTTGTATTTGTGTTGTGATGAATATATATATCGCGGGAACAAATCAGTGATTTTCAACTCTAATGACTGTGTTAATTCTTTAAACTGTGATTTTATAGATCATCAGTGTGAACTGATTTCGCGAAAACATCGCGTTTGCGAGCTGTAATTTGGACAATATGTCGCGTGTTGGAGTAAAAGTGACTTGAACTGTGATTTAATGATTTGACATTTTGAACTTTATAAGTTTATTCCAGTTATCAGTGTTTTGAAATGTTTAATTTGTTCATTATGTTTACTATTTCGATCGAGGACGATCGATTTTCGGAGTCGTGGGTAGTGTAACCGGTAGCCGTAGCTATCTTAATTATTTGTATTTCGTTTTCCGGAAAAGCGCTCCGTAGTTCTATATTTAGACTATGGGTGTAAGTTTTGGTACCTATCGCTACTCTAGTAAAATCTATGGTTTTCTCGGCACAGTCATCGCCTGTTTAATATTTTGATATTTTTATATTGTGTAAGAGTATATATTTCTAATTGAGCATGCTGCCTATGTTTTTATTATTGTTAATTGTGTCTGCCGACTGTATTTTCAAGCAAGAACTTTACTATGTATTTATATGTATTTTCACTTAGTTTGTTATAATATTTAGTGGGCAGATTTTGTAAGTAAACATTTTTGATGGGGACTTATATGTATCTGGTAGATAAATTATCTAGCTATCCGTGCCTATCCTTAGTTTTGTGGTGCCTACTTTGTGTCAAAAGTTCTGCATATTTTTTGGATAGTACCCGTGTCTGGATTTTAGATTCCATGCCGACTTGTCCAAGGGAGATAATATTAGCTTCTTGTATATCAAGAATTTATTAATTAGTAGGCATGTTTAATTTAAGTCTTATTTAGTATATTTTATCCTTTCAAATTATTATTTATGCATGTTGTAAGCCATGTGTCATGTTGGTTTAGTTGAGGCATGGGTTCTTTTATTTATTTTGTGTCTGTTAGTTTAGGATTTCACCCCACCTTTTATTACTAGGTGGATGAATAAGTTGAGTCTCATTGTCTCCATGCATTAGCCTTTTGTCTTCTAGACTGGATAGTAATATCCTGGCTCAAGGAAGTGTTTTGACAGCGTTTGAACACAGTGTTTTATTTAGTCTTTATGTCTCGTAGTAGAAAGTGTTTTTAGAAGTGTTTTGTAAGTAATTATTAATATTACATAGTTAGAGACGACCACAAATCGTCCCGAAGTCACGTAATTTCGGATACCCGAATTTGACCTTGCTATCCCCAACCGAAAATTATATGTATCATATATGTTTCTAATTTTTATTAAAACCTTTATAAGTTCCTGTTGTTTCAGTGTCGATTAATTTATTAGACTAACAGTGTGCGGGTAACAATGATACACCGCGCACGTGCTTACCATTCAGCCATCCAACCCCCCGGTTAGTTTCAGACTTTCAGATGTCATATATGTTTCTTAAATCCCATTACCTTAATTCTGAAACTTAGCGGAGCCACGGTGGGTAAGTGAGTAAGATGCAGGCTTGCTTGCCCGGAGGTTGCGGGTTTGCTCCCAGTGTTGCACGAGAAAGTTCATCAGAATTTCCCGGCGTGGTTACCCCTTGTCAGTGGTACAGGAAGGTGTCTATTCGTTTGGATGGTATGAAAAACTGAGGTCCTGTGTACATATTGGCGTGCACGTAAAAGATCCATTGACAGTTGGAATTCGATATAAGAGTAGGCCATAGTGCTGCTGCCCGGGCAAATTGCCCAGTATAGGAGCAGAACAGTAGGACGTTAAACCCCATTTCGTTTCATTTCATCATTAATTTTGTTTTTTTATTATCTTAGTGCTTATTGTGGAGGTCTGTGGTTAGCTGCATTACGAATGTTGTGTGAAATGGCTTTTATACTGGGTAAAACAGAAGATGTCGATAAATTCGCGGCCATCCTAAAACTAGGAGCGAAATCATATCAAGAAAAGTTATGGACGGGTAAATATTATCAGTACGATAGCAGCAACAGCGGCCATCATGATAGTATCATGGCCGATCAACTGTCTGGACAATGGTTTCTACATGCATCTGAAATAGTAGATGAAGCTGTAAGTAGATTAACTGGATGTTTTAGACTACATTTATCAACAAATTAACCATACATTATGTAAGAGCTAAATCTGCCTATTGCAGGTCTTTCCTTAAGCCTGAAATGTTATATCAGGCCTGTAACTAGAGGGGGCGCAGGGGGGGGGGGGAAACCCCCTCTGCCAAAATTTTCGCCCCCCCCCCCTTGAAAAAATTTTCGACCATAAAAAAAAATTGATATACATTATCCGTCAATTTTATAGCACCCCTGAGAACAGCTAGTTACGGCCCTGTGTTATATAAACTATTAATTAATTAATTAGACTTTATTAACTTGCCAAGACCATAATCAATTCTCGATGCCATTTTATCTATCCGATTTTCATTGGATTTGAATCAGTTGATGATTAAACACAAAAATGGATAATCAAGACTTTGTTAATTATCATGAAAGCTGTAACAATAACAGTCGAGGCTACAAAGATTTTATAATAAGGTTTTCTCGACTTAAAGTGAAGTAATTTGACTTAAATTTTCAGCATATTCCCTTTACATTATCTAGTTTTTTAACTATTATAGTGGGAACTGCCAGCTCTTTATCTAATCTTCCATAATGTATCTTTAATCAATGTTTTAAACACCAGTTAAATTGGAGTTATTTGCTGGAGACAGAAGACTATAATTAACTTTAAGTAGGAGTTCATATTATGAGAGAGGTTATTCGATCACATCCTTGGTCCTTGAGAATAACAAATTAAATTTAATGATCAATGGTTTGAAGAAAGGATGGCACACTAGCCAGAGGCCAACCATGTTTCTGAAGCAACGATGACGAGTTTTACAACATCTAGGTGATGCTAGACTGGTCTGCAGTTCCCGAACTTATAGCTACGTTATCTCCCTTTACTGCAGACACAGGAACAATAGCGTCCAATCAGAGGCTGTTAAAGTTACAATTTCATATTTTCTAAGAAAGTCAAAACATAATTATTTCTATGTCTTTTGCTCAATAGGTTGTCAACTCACTATTATACGATCATAGGTGTCATTCTCACACTTAAAACTCATTTACACCGGAAATAATAACACAATTACCTCCCAATTACCACCCTTGATTTCTATTCCCCACCATGGAGTAGCTATCTTCAAACGTTTGACTTTGAAGTTAAAAATGATATTTTTGCCAATTTCTCAACTGGCAATAGTAATTATAGGATTAATAGGATTATTCTTTAACAAGGTAGGACTGTTTATAGATACCATCTATTTTAAGGCTTTATTTTAATAAATTTTAAAAATATAACTTAAAAATATGAAATTGTAACTTTAAACATATCAAACATGGCGACCTCCACGGAAACCTTGACATTGAACGAACCTTGAAATTTGCAACTCAATTATCACAGGTAGACATTTTAGCTTGAAAATGCAAGACTTGGTATTCGCGATGATCGAGAAATCTGATAGGGTTCCCACCTGCATCAGTAATCAATTGAAATTAGTGCCTAAATATCCATTTCTGGCGTGGTTCCCCCTTGTTCGGATGGGACGAAAAACCGAGGTCCCGTGTACACATTGGCGTGCACGTAAAAGATCCCTTGACAGTTGGAATTCGATATAAGAGTAGGCCGTGGTGCTGCTGTCCGGGCAAAATTTCCCTCATAGCACACTGTATGGCATATGCCCGTCTTCATTAGCCCAGTTCGGAGCAAAACAGTAGGACGTTAAACCCCATTTCATTTCATTTCCTAAATATCCAGGGTATCACGTGAAGGCCTTGATAAGATATATGGAGTAAAAGCAAGGTAAAACCCCTTCTATTGAAGATGGAGGCCAACAGGATTTCAGTGCAAGTAACGGTAATCAACTAAGGTCTTAACAGGGCAAAGGGTGGTGGTGGTGGGGGGGGAGTGGCCAAATGGTTAGTGTGTGCGCATTGTATCATAAAGTCTGTCATTGAGTCAACTGGTTTGGTTTCGATTCCCCGGTTGTACGTGACAAGGTGTAGGGTTGCCTGTCCAACCTTGTGTGTTTTTGTTTCTTGAAAGGGGGGTTGGATGGCTGAGTGGTTAGCGTGTGCGCGCTGTATCATAAAGTCTGTCATTGAGTCAACTGGTTTGGTTTCGATTCCCCGGTTGTATGTGACAAGGATTAGGGTTGCCTGTCCAACCTCGTGGGTTTTCCCTAGGTCCTCTGGTTTCCTCCCACTGCTAAAGAAAGACCCCCTACACACAAGCGATTATTGAAACTAAAAATAAACCATGTTAGTCCCGAAATGACCTAGTTTGTGTCGAGTGGACGTTAAACCTCATTTCTCTCTCTCTCTCTTTCTGTTTCTTGAAAGAGATGTCCAAACGATTGTTTTAAACCAGTTTTTATTTTTCTGTAGGTATTCCCAGCCGATAAAGTAAGAACAGCTTTAAAGACTGTGTTTGATAATAATGTGATGAAATATGCCAATGGTACGATGGGCGCCATCAACGGCACAAAACCAGATGGTTCACGAGATACAAGTAGTCCACAATCAGAAGAATTTTGGACGGGTATTACGTATGGTTTAGCTGCTAGTATGATACAAGAGGTATGATTGGTTGAATTCTAGAATACAAAATAAAACGAAATGGTGTTTAAAGGAAACCTCGGCCGTTAAAAAACACCTCTGTTGGTTGGAAACGCCTCATAGCACACTGTATGGCGTATGCCCGTCTTCATTAGCCCAGTTCGGAGCAAAACAGTAGGACGTTAAACCCCATTTCATTTCATTTCTATTCTATAACTACATACAAATACAAGCAAATATCATGGGTTGTATTCAATGGCTTGGACACGTACTACTTTTGTTCAGAATTACATCAAACTGTAATGCAACCACGATTTTTGTAAAAAAAAAAGGGCGGAACCTATGATGAATTTAACGTTATTGGTGATGAATTTTTTGATAATCTGGATAGTACAATGTATTTTGAGATTTACATGTAGTTATAGAATAAAAACAGAACTCAATGACCATTGCATACCGCTCGGGTTATTCAATGGTTCACTCGAGTGTATCCCTGCCACATTCCGAGCGGTATTCAATGGTCATTGAGTTCTATCTATTTATTTACTAACAATGTACGTTACTCCATCCAGAGATGAATATTGTATGTTTAACCATTACAGGGTATGCTAGACGAAGGCTTTCAGACTGCATGGGGAGCATACCATGCATGCTGGGAAGGATTAGGCCTACAATTCCAGACACCAGAAGCTTACACGTCCACCAAAGGATATCGATCGTTAGGCTACATGAGACCACTTAGTGTCTGGGCTATACAGTGGGCAATCGAAAGATTTCAACGCCAATTACTAGTTAACTAAGTCAAACTTAACGTTAATATTTACGATCGTTAATAATTTTGAAGGGTTTTATTTTTTTTTACCGTGTTTGTTAAACATACATTATGCAAGAGGTAAATCTGCCTATTGCAGGTCTTTCTTTAGGCCTGAAATGTTTTTTTAAATTATTAATTAGACATTAATTAACTTATCTACACCATAATCAACTCTAGATGCCATCGGATGTTTGCGATATTAAACATACATTATGCAAGAGATAAATCTGCCTATTGCAGGTCTTTCTTTAGGCCTGAAATGTTTTTTAAATTATTAATTAGACATTAATTAACTTATCTACACCATAATCAACTCTAGTTGCCATCGGATGTTTGCGATATTAAACATACATTATGCAAGAGATAAATCTGCCTATTGCAGGTCTTTCTTTAGGCCTGAAATGTTTTTTAAATTATTTATTAGACATTATTAACTGATCCAAACCATAAACAACTCTCAATGCCATCGGATTTCTCTGATATTAAGTAGATAGAACAATTCAGACATATTTTGATTTAAGCTAAAACTGGAAGAGGGAGACTTATCTTCGAACAACCAGTACGATGGTTGAAATTATTGTACACGTCTTGTCAAACCTTCAAAGGCTAATATCTTCGCTCGCAATAGAGTAATTTGAATGAAATTTTCAAATTATTCATTTTACATTATCTATTTTCGAACTATTATAGCAAGAATGGCTAGTTCTGTATCAAAATCTTACATAATGTATCATTAACATCAATATTTATGATCGTTAATAATTTACCATACACGTAGATAACATTAATGCTTTATTGAAATACCTGAAATTCAATATTTATATTTTTAATCTTTAATAATTTTATCATACATGTGGTATTTTCGCAGATATTTATGCTTGGTTGAAATCCAGGCCCCAAGTTCACAAAACATTCTCAGACTTAAGTTGAGAATTTACTCAACATTCAGTCACTGTTTATGACTATTATGAGAAATATCTTTGATCCAGGAACACAATACTTAGTGTATAGTTTCTTATTGATGTATTTGAGACATTAAAACAACAAAAGTTTTATAAAGGGCTTTAATTTAGACAAAATAAGAACAATTTTGAGTAAATTCTGAGAATGCTTTGAGAACTCAGGACCAGTAGATTTATTATTTAAATCACTGTTGCTATTTCAAATTTTTTTTTTTTTCGGACATTTTTACCGAAAATAAAGGGGCATAACTCTTATCATTATTTAAACAGAAGGTTTCAGACCACAATTAAAACTTTAACTATTACTACGTCATATGAATATGATTCATAATATTCGATGCAGCATCTTCCTGTTCGGTCGTTCGCTAATAATATCTTTTTTTATTTGTTTGTTAATGTTAGTATTTCTTTGTGCATTATAAATGCAAATTTGCTCACTTACTGTGTGGTACATAGAAGCATATTATTGTTTTGTTTTAGTCTTAGATTAGTTTTGTTAGATCATTGTTTTTAATTTAATTAAAGTTCATACATGTTTTCATTTTTTTTCCTCTTGGAACATTTTATACAGTTTATTGTCATTAACATTATTATTATTATTAAGTAAATTTTGTTGTACTTTCTTCATGAAATAATCCTTTGTTGTACCGGTACTTTCTCCATGTAATAATCCGATAAATATGATGTACATTAATAAATACATTCCGTTTAATTAACGATATGGCCATCACATAATTTGAGGTAAAGGTAGGTCTAGATAGTTAGAAGGATCAAGGAAATATTAATTCATGTTTTTCAAGCATTCTGTCCAGTAGCTACTGGACACAGTCGAATTAATCATTACATTAATCCTGCCATTCCAAACAAAATTTTTATCAATTTACTTTCATTTGTTCAGATACATTGAGGTGTTTAAACATTTATCTGGCTTAAAGATGGGTTCCCGCGTACAAACTGGGTGATTTAATGGTATATATGGACTAAAAACATATTCAAACTAATTAATTTGTCATAATTATGCTTCAAATCCTTCTCAAACATTGTAATTGCAAAGGAATGCCCTGCCATTAAAATTCGATCAAACCAGGTCATGTTTACGTCACGTCTTGGAAATCAGAGGAGAATTCATTGCATACATAAGACGATGTTGTCTTTAATCGCTTACTATTTATTACAAATATCGAATCCTAATTAAATTCTCTGATTATCCACTACCCGCGTCTTTTTCCGTCATTTTTATTTCAGAGAGTGTTGTACGTCTAACTCTTTATAGCGTTTATCAACTTGTACATGAAGCGTGTGATCTTTGACATCACGCATGCAGAAATTCTTAATCGTCGGGCTGTTGATTATGGGAACCCTTACATTTTTGTACTGTATACGCTCCATGAGTGTTTTTCGGGGAATCCAGTATTTTTCTAGTAAGTTTGGATATCTCTACTTTCCATATATACCAAAATTGCCATACTTTTATTGGAAATAACCACCCAATCAATACTTTTCTGGGAACCCATCTTTAAGTATCACATTAATACGGCAAATCCAAACAAAATTTTATCATGTAACTTTTGCTCGTTCAGTTACAGTCGTTCAGATACATTCAGGTGTTCAAATATTTATGTGGCTTAAGCCAACTAGGTGATGGCATTGTTATACACCAGTGTATGTCAATAGTCAATATCGCATTTTTCATTAGATCGATTTACAGGCCAACACTGCAATGACTTATAAGAAGTCTACTTAGGAATCAAATAATACATCCTTATTTAAAGTTGCAATTTCACATTTTTAAGTTATATTTTTAAAATTTATTAAAATAAAGCCTTAAAATAGATGGTATTTATAAACCGTCCTACCTTGTTAAAGAATAATCCTATTAATCCTATAAGTCACTATTGACACTTGGCAAAAATATCATTTTCAACTTCAAATTCCAACATTTGAAGGCAGCTAATGCATGGAGGCAATAGGAAAATAAGGGAGGTAATTGTGTTATTATTTCCTGTGTCAATGATTTTTAAGGGTGGGAAATAATGCCCATGGTCGTATAATAGTGAGTTGATAACCTATTGAGCAAAAGACATAGAAATAATTATGTTTTGACTTTCTTAGAAAATATGAAATTATCGCTTTAAACAAAATAAATGTTGATGCTAGGTTTCCACTGTCGTGTGATGCCTTACGATACAATCTGATTAAAACACAGGTCCTATTTCGTTTCGGTTTTTTATAGTTTAAAATTACGTTTTATTTGTTTTTACTACACCTCATGTAGTGTAGGCCATCAAAAGTATAAAAAAAAAACGAAACGGAATATAAATTTTTTTTAAGAATGGTTACAATAGGGTTGTCCCTATTTAGCCCACGATCTGGTACGTGCAGATACGTTTGGATATGTTCCGACACGGTCAACACGATTGCTAAGACTGACCTCAATATATGATAAAACCTGATAGGATCTCCACGATTACTCCATGATTAAAACCACGATTTCAATCGTAGCACGAATCATGATAGTGGGAACCTAGCATTATCGGTAAACGTGAGATATAAATTGGAAATAGTGCCTAAAAGTATATTTCATATATGTCCCTGCCCCGATTTCACAAAGCATTCTCAGACTTAAGTTGAGAATTTACTTAACTTTCAATCACTGTTTATGAGAAATATCTTTGATCCAGAAACACAAAACTTTGCACATAGTTTCTTATTGATGTATTTGATACATTAAAACAACAAAAGTTTAAAGGCCTATATTTTAGTTAAAATAAGGCAAACAATTTTGAGTAAATTCTTAACTTAAGTCTGAGAATGCTTTGTGAAATCGGAGCCAGTTGTCTTAATTTGTGTTTTATCTGAAGGAAGAGTTACCTCCATTAGTGTTGTTATGTATAAATCGGGTTCAAGAATTATCATAATGTGTAAATACATACCAATATACAGTCATTGTTTTTTAAGGCGAACGATCGCTCTCGAGAACCTGTTGCTCACCTGAATGGCTCTCCTCTGAAATGAGTAAATACATACCAGAACAGTCATTGTTTTTTAGGGCGAACGATCGCTCTCGAGCACCTGTTGCTTACCTGAATGGCTCTCCTCTGAAATGTGTAAATACCAGTACAGTCATTGTTTTTAAGGGCGAACGATCGCTCTCGAGAACCTGTTGCTCACCTGAATGGCTCTCCTCTGAAATGTGTAAATACATACCAATATACAGTCATTGTTTTTTAGCACCTGTTGCTCACCTGAATGGCTCTACTCTGAAATACAAACAACAACGATTGAGTATATCGTGAAATATGTTAAATATTTTAACAATATTCCATAATAACAAAGACAATCTGATTAAAACACAGATACTATTTCCTTTCGAGGGGGGGATCCACGGTGGCTAAGTGGGTAAGGCGCTGGCTCGCTAGCCTGGAGGTCGGGTGTTCGATCCCTGCATTGGCCGAGAAAGTTCATTCCGATTTTCCGGCGTGGTTCCCCCTTGTCAGTGATGCAGGAAGGAGGGCCTGACAAGGACAGCTGTCTAGTCATTCAGATGAGACGAAAAACCGAGGTCCCGTGTACACATTGGCGTGTACGTAAAAGATCCCTTGACAGTTGGAATTCGATATAAGAGTAGGCCGTAGTGCCGCTGTCCGGGCAAAATTTCCCTCATAGCACACTGTATGGCGTATGCCCGTCTTCATTAGCCCAGTTCGGAGCAAAACAGTAGGACGTTAAACCCCATTTCATTTCATTTCCTTTCGAGGGGTTGGATGGCCGAATGGTTAGCACGTGCGCGCTGTATCATAAGGTCTGTCATTGAGACAACTGGTGTGGTTTTGATTCCCGGGTTGTATGTGATAAGGAGTAGGGCTGCCTGTCCAACCTTGTGGGTTTTCTCCGGGTCCACCTACTGCTAAACACCCCTACCCGCAAGCAAATTATTGAAATAAAATTAAACCATATGTTAGTCCCGAAATGACCTAGTTTGTGTCGAGTGGACGTTAAACCCCATTTCTCTCTCGCTCTTTTCACTTTTTATAGATCAAAATTTCATTTTATTTGTCTGTACTACACTAGGATCTTGAAGAGTTGGTATATAATCTGCGTTCTGGTTGATATGAGGGATTAGCCAATGAAACGGTCGGTTGCAGCGAATTCTTGGCGTACGATGCACGGAACTGTGGGTATCCTACTAGAAACATCGACGCTGATTGGTTAATCAAATTTTTGACGTCATAGGGTCAAAAGCTGCTCATATGACCTGTGACGTGACCTCCCACTACAACTGGTCAGATCTTTATGTAGTGTAGGCCATCGAAAGTATAAAAAAACGAAACGAAATATAGATCTGTATTTTATTCAGATTGTAATACATGGAGACTAACCTATATTTACATTTTGTGCATAATGAACTTGACCTTTGGGTGTCAGTTTCTCACAATAATTTGTTCTATCTATTGTTAGGTAATAATATTAGTACTCAGAATCACTCGGCAAACCTCAGCAGATTCCAGTACCCTACATCTAGCCTCGGTTGTATGACGAAATCCGCCATTGGAACGACTTTCAAGTTCCCGGATTACCAATGGCGCTGCCCATGACGACGCATTTGAAGAATGTTTTATCATACAAATATTTCAAAGTCTGAAACTGTTTTTCTTTCAAGTTTATCCAATTTTCTTCAAACAAGGACAACTTTGCACTGAAAGTTCTACACACGCAATTTTGATAACTTCTTTTTAGAAGCGGCAAGTTTTCCTAATAAGTAAACCGGTGCTGCATTGCAATTGTATAGGCGTAGGTACATATCACTTACCGTCATACAGCCGAGGCTAGATGTAGAGTAACTGAATCTGCCAAGGTTTGCCGAGTGTACTCTGAATGTCATTAAAGGAGTATATAAAACTTATTTTAGACATGGCAAGGTTTGGGGACCTTTTGTGGTGAAAAGTCCCACACAAATCCCCCCAAACCTTGCCATAAATGATTTATTTTTCAAAATTTGTTAAAACAGCATGCCAACTCTTTTTTTTAAGTCAGTTTTCTTTGAAATTGTTTAACTTGCATTTGATTATTACAAATAGTTTTAAAAAAAGAGGGGTTTGTATGGCATTTGTCGCATGGCGTTTGTATGGCATCAATCACATTTTGAAAGCCCTTTGTTTAATCTGGGTTCTTCCCATAAACTTTGGACAGTGATTTAAGGTATTAAAAACGGTGAAAGTCTTGTTCGTCTCCATACAGTATTGTTTACACTGTATCAATGTTGATAACCTCGTTTGTCACGCAATTAGTTTTTCAGCAATATTCTGCTATGCACTGGTTAATTGGACATAATAAAATCGTGAGTCATGACGTAATGTTATGTAAACATATTTGGTCCAATTTGGAGCTATGTTTAAAGCGTAATCAAATTGTTACGCAGTTAGCTATTTGTTGTTAATCGGACTATTGACCAGTCATAATTTGGAACAGAAATTTGCTTCCATTAAAGCAGTGTTTAGTGGGATTATCTCTAATCAAACGAAACACTGCGGGGAGTATGACTTTTACTACACGAATATATGTATATATAATTTACTATATCAATAATATCACTATAAATAATATTACCCATTTCTTGTAGTTCCAAATAGTACCTCAAGAATTTTATTTTATATTCTGGGTTTTTTTGCTTAGAAATCCGTCCGTCCAAAACTCATAACATCTACGAACATTCATA